TTTCGAATGTTATTAAGACTCGTTAACCAGACGAGGAAATGAGTGCACGGCACGAATAAATGAAATACAGCCTCGCAAGTGTTCGAGTGCCGCAGGTGTAGAGATACCGGCGAAGAAAAGACAGAAAAGGCTAGAAATAAAATTAGAGCGAAACGAGAAACGAAATAATGACGCGCGTTTTTCGTTAATGATCGTGCAGCTGTTGCACGTGAGACGCAAGTGTTCGAACGCTATAGAGAGAGGATATCCGCGAAGAAAGGGACAAAAACTAGGAATTAAAATAGAACGAAAGAGTGACGCGCGAGTTTCGTCAATGACTGTGTACAGCTGCTGCATATGAAACACACCTCGACACCGAAACTGTCCATATGACACGCGCGAATAAAAAAAAGGATACGGATAGTTATGGCAATCCACGTCGGTGTTCCATGACAAAAATCACCGCCAATTTTCCAAGAAGAAAAAAAGTCGATGAACAACAACACCTTCGCCTGGCGAATCTTAATTAGACCTTGGTCGATCGACCTGCCACGATGCCGTAGAGGAAAATTCAGCTGACAAAACGCGTGGTACGTTGCCAATCGCTCCGTACACGGATCGAACTTACGCTCGGCTTTCGACGCGAAAATTCGCGGAGGTTATGACGCACTGCACGATTCAATCGGAAGAAGGAGAACGTACTTGCACGAGTTTCACATCATCTCGACAACGTGAAACGAACGTGAAGGAACGAGATAGAGATAGAGAGAGAGAGGAAGAGAGAAAGACAGATACAACGTACAGATTCTGGATAAATTGTTGATCATCGAGGCACGATGAAAAGTTTCTCCACGTAATCCGCGTGCCGACCAAATGGAACCATGACTGTAGCCCAATTTTCCACCCTTGGTCGTGTGCTCCTCCGTGTTTCCCGTCTCCAGGCAACCGAGGTTCGCGATTCGCGGCTATCCCTGTGTATGCGTCTCTCTCTCTCTCTCTCTCTCTCTCTACACACATACACACACACACACACACACACACAGACGAATTCCGGATCGTGGGGGTTGGCATATATAGGCCGACGCCGCGCCGTCACGTATACAGAGAAACATCATCGATTGCCCTTTAGGCAGCGAGCGCATGGACCTGTATTATCTGCTCGCCAATCCACGACCGACTCGTGCACGCTCGATGATATGTTCCATTAACGCTTAATTCGATTGTAGAATCGGAATCGACTCGGCGGAACAAACTAAAAACGTTTGATTAGTTGCGTGCAACGGCCGCGGCCGGATTAGAATGATATTCTCTGGCTCTTCTTTCCTCTCCTCTCCTCTCCTCCCCTCTTCGTTCATCCGGCCACGCACGTACGGATACCACACCAGTTTGAAGTGGAGAATTTCGACGAAAAAATGTCGAGCGTTTTTCGAATGTTTTCGTAGTAGTAACCAGTTCTTTTTAACCATCAACTAAAGCGTGAGTTGCAGCAGCGTTGTAGAGCGTAGAACAGAAATATATATATATTGCATGGGCAAATGTGAAAATGGTGGAAAAAACTGCCGGACGTCGTCGGTAATCCGTTTTTATCTCACGTCGTGCATATTGCAATACATCCCGATGACGATTATCGAATTGTTCTGGCTGCGTTATTGCGATTATTGAGTAACTTTGAATACTCGTCTATTTGCTGTTAGTTTCAAGCGACATTACACGCGATCGTTCACTGCAAAAGTACTAATCAGTATCAAGACAGAATTAACTGACTCGAGACTTTTTTTTTTCGAACTGCATGATTTTATCCAGTTCGTTTCTTCCTTTTTCTTTTTTTTTTTCTTTCTTTCTTTCGCGTTATCCGTATGAATTTTCATCGCTGTTTGAAAGTTGTTTGAAAGTTCGACAGAGAGTAGGACAATATACATCTTACGTAACTTCGACGACGCGATTCGATACTAAAAACAAGAGAGCTGAAGTATCTTTAGTTTCATCAGGCTAAATACGCCCTGATATTTACTTCAATACTGGCAGAACTTCTCGCGAACAGCAAACATCCGTGAATCAATCTAAAGGTTTTACTCGGCTGGAATTCAATTAAGAACCAACAAAGAAAAACAGTGCGAAAATCTCGGTGGAGAATTTTTCGTATTATTCGGGAGCGAGAGATGATCAAAGAATCATCAAACTTTGAACAATGATCGTTAATAGATAAACCAGATAAACAAGCGTGGCGGATATATTCTCGAATTCCTGCTTAGCTTCCGCGTTTTAATTTCTCTTTCTCTCGAAGCTGAAATTAAAAATCAATAGTCTACCGATAAATCAATAATCTTTTTATTCATTTGTTTTTCTTCTTCTTCTTTTAATGAAAAGCGACACGAATCCTCTCTCGCTGGCTACAATGTCACTCTATTGTCGACGAATATGACTCGTAGGCTGATTTTACGTTTACGACAGACAATGTCGGAGTGGAAGGAAGGAAGAAAGCAAGTACACCGAGCACAACAAGCGTTTAAAACGCTCTCGTGTAAGTAAAAGCGCGACCCGGCAGAGCGTGCCTTTTTTCCGAATCGGCATATCGGATTCCGGATTTAAAAGAATAAATGGATTAGTCGGTTGTTGAATAGCGCATCTTCGAGGATTAATAGGGGCGAAAGTTAGGAGTAGAGAGTGAGGCCGTGTTGCACGCACACGCCGCCATGATGATCGTATCGCATGCGGAACGGATAATTGAATTATTTCATCAGCATTATTGCCTGTGATGCGGAAACAAATGGAGTAATAATGCCAGCAACACGCGATCCGATCGGCCGGCGTTTTAATGAAAAAAAAAAAAAAAAAAAATATTTTTACTGACCCGCGAATGTTTCGGATATCATTTTTTGGTCTTGGAATTGAGGAGTGTCATTCATGGATGGAGGGGGAACGAAAGAAAATTTCTTCTCGAAATTGTCCCTTGTAATCCCTACTGATCTGTGAAGCAGCGGTTAATTTGTGCGCTGGAATATTTGCTTCGTTTTATGCTGAATTTTTATGAACGGTCATTGAGAGTAATGTTATATCGTACTGAATAAAGCAGGGATTTAAAAAAACGAGGTTAAGTGGTATTGAGAGACTCTGAGTGAGCTACTCTTTTTTCCCCCGTCTTACGGAGTATCTCTTCGCT